AAAAAAAAAAAAAAAAAAAAAAAAACAAACTGCTTATTCTATACTTTGCCTGCAAAGATTAGGAGACCAATGACAGTTCAAACACAGTTGGCTCTGGGAAGATAAACACAGGCATGCTTCTACTGATTTCTTTGCACTAAGTATTTTGAATGCAAATAGAACAACTTTAAAACTTATTTTGCAAAATGTTATTCTGGTATTGTAACTTTACAATCTGTAGTTAAGTTCATACTGCTAAGGGATTGTTTATCCTGAGATCTCTTGCTGAGGAAAGGCAGGGATCACTGTGCTAGGCTACCTGGACATCTTACCTCAATGCCTGGCTTCTTCCTTGCCTCCAATGTCCTCCTCATAAACTCCAGCATCTTAAACTGATGATATCCCAAAATGACTTCACCAACTTCCCTTAATAAACCACCCAGCCTTTTCAATAAAGCATCACTCACTCCACAGTAAGTCCCAAAATTTGGTCATCTTGTACATATTCCTTTTCCTTGTTCCCCATATCCAAAACACTGCCACATTCTATTTATTCCGCCATAGTATTTTCTTTGGAATCTGCCTTTCTGCTCCCTTCTCATTGCTTCTAACCTCTCATCTGGAAATATTACAAAAGCTTCTTAACTCATACACACTGACCCACTCCTCTCCCTGCTAAACAGTTAATTTTCACTAATTTTCTTTAAAGCTTGGGTCACATCTCATCCATACAAAAACTCTGAAGGCTCTACTGCCCTCAGAACATCCCAGTACCTATGCCCATGGTTCTGGGCCACGCCAAGGCTGTTCCCACTATTCCCTCATACACGTTTTCCTGGACATTTCCAAGTTACGCTCCATGTTTGAAATTTCCTCACAATTTCAGCAGTAAAAATCCTATGAATCTTTGGCATGAGCTCAAAGTGCTCTTCCTATCCAGCATCTCTCCCTCTGGATTCCTTTTGCACCTGGTAACCTCTGATCACTCCTATGTTGTACTGTAATTAACGTGGACGTCATGCCCTCTTCACTAAACTGTCTGCATGACACTAAAATATGAGCCTGTTTCACTTTTGCATGCCCACAATGGTTTTCACATACTTGACATTTAATAATAATAAAAAAACTCAAACCAGGCACAGCAGGGTACACCTGTTAGTTCCAGCTACTTGGGGGCCACTTAAGCCTAGGAGTATGAAGCCAGCCTAGGCAACATAGAAAGACCTCCTCACAAAAAAACTCTCAGATCAATGGATGATTTTTTAAAAATTTAATATGGTATATATCAAATCATCCTAATGTTCCTAAGATCAATAATGAAAAGGTTTCCAAGGATCCAAATAACTACTTTTTAAGTATATCAATTTAAAAATAATCATTCCAAATACTAGTCTTGAAACTTCTCCAAGTGTACATATCCTAAATTTATATTATTGCTCATAGTGTACACATACTTAGTAATTCTCATATAGTAATTTTTTTTTAGAAGTCAGAAATCTAAGGCTTTTCTGTGACTAAGAGAGTCTAACTTAAAAAGTTAGTTCACGTGTACTGTTAAATTCTACTTTCATTCCTGTTATCTGTATGATTATACTAAGTAATTAAGAGAAAGAAAATAGATTTAAAACTAAATATACAGTGTAGGCATGACAAGCATGAAGCCCTGAGTTCGATTCCTAGTACTAAAAAAACAAACAAACAAACAAAATTAAATATGGCCCAAATCCTTTAGCAGCAAAACAATTTTATTTTGGTGCTCACTAAGAGATCCAAGGGCAAGCATCAAATAGTCCTATAAAATCAGTATTTTTGTTAGTATATTGATAAAAGAATACAGTTACCAAATTTATAGGAAATAATTTCATTGAGACATAACTAGTTTCTAGAAAATAAACACTATATAAAACATAAGATTTGTTAGGTTATAGGTAGTATTTGAGGCTCTACTTTGCCTCATTAATGGCAATTGGTTCTAAACTAGGAATATTTTACCTAATTAATCAGGGGCAAATAACAGTAACAGCAAATATTTCTTAATACATAACAGTCTAATCCTGACATACTTTATGTTAATACTTTATGTATTAACTAACTCACTGAACACGTAAAACAATACTATCAAGTAAACTCTATCAGTTCCAATTGTACATGGAACAACTAAGGAACAGAAGATTGGTAAGTTCCCCCAGGACATATAGAAAGCAGCAGTATGAAGATTCAAGTTGGCATTGCCACCATGAATTCAGAAAAATCCACAAAACAGACTTGACTGGGACTATCAGGATGTTTTTGAGGCACCGTGCTTTTCACCATCTGAACTTCAAAAGCAAAAGCTCCTCAATAATTTACCAAATGCCACAGTCCAACAGTCTCTCTTGTTTTCTCCTTTTACAGGTTCCATATTGGCAACAGGATCATCTTTTTGCCTTGGGTCCCACACCTTCACAGTTCCTGCCACGAACAAAAGGGAGTTGGAAAATTTCCATAGTGAACAATCACACCTCCTTTCTGCATTCTCTTTCCACAGCTTCCAGCATACATAGCAATATTACAGATATGGCATTTAAATATATTCATATTTTTCTGCTTTCTAATTGCTTAAGTTGTATTTGACAGTAATGGTAGGTCTATAATGCATATGTTACATGATTTTCAAATTAATAGATACACAGAAAAACTGTGTTCCTGTTATCTACAAGTGATGACTGACAAGGAAAATACAAGTATTATGTAATTCAAGCTATGCCTTATTTACTGGGAACCTAAAAGATGTTATAAAAAATCCACTTGTCGGGCAGGGAATTTAGCTCAGTGGTTCTGACACCTGCCTTGCAAGCACAAGTTCCTGAGTTCAATTACCCAGTACCAAAAAAAATAAAAATAAAAAAATAAAAAGAAAGAAAGAAAGAAAGAATCCACTTGTCAACAAAAACAATATAATATAACCATTGGCATTCTTATACACAAGAATAAGCGAATAAGCTCTCTCTCTCTCTCTCTCTCTCTTTTTTTTTGGTACTGAGGCTTGAACTCAGGACCTTGCCCTTGTGAGGCAGGCAGTGGCACCAGGCACCACTGAGCTAAATCCCCAGCCCCTAGCTCTCATTTTTATATGAATGGGTTTTTTTTTAGAATATTATTTCACATACAATTAAGTTTAATTTCTCCCAGGGCAAGAGTAAGGAAGGAAACATTAAATAAAATTAAAAAATAATTCTTTTTAATTCCAATCCCCTCACATTAATTCTTATCATAGGACTGCTATCTAAATAGTGTTACTGCCCACAAGAAATGCAAATGCATGTAATGAAATGGCTAAAACCAAATATGTAATAGAACAAGAAAAAGAGGAGAATCCTTGGAAGAGATACAAACTCAGAAAAGTGGGAGACATCCCACTAGATTTATCTCCAGGGATACAACTGGTCATTAAAAAGGCTCCTACAAGGGCCAGCATGTAGCTCAGTGGTGCTGCACCTGCCTGGCAAGCACAAGGTCCTGAGTTTGACCCCTAGTACCAGAAAAATAAAATAAAAAGGCTCCTGTAAGAAGAAGGAAAACAAAACAAAACAAAAAATTCTTACAAATATGAGCATTCTCCTACAGTGTTCATACAGATTTACAGGAAGCTCACTAGAGTTAAACTAGCAAAGAAAATTTAAGAAACTCATGAAACAAAAAGTAAGCAAACATAAAAAGATATTAATACAAGTTGAAGAGTATTATTTTCATCATCATAAAATTAGGGGGAAAAGGAAGAAAATCAATGCCAATAGGGTGACTGGAAATCTACCTCATCTATTAGAGTTGATGATATAAAAAGGTTCTTTAGAAAGTTTAACAACAAATTGTAAGAATTATCTTAACCTAAAAGAGTTACATACATGAAATAATCATTTCTTCAATATTTTTAAATCAGTGTCCCAAAACAAAAAACCAAAAAACTTAAGGCATACTGAATTAGTAATAGGTTCATGGTTAATTGCACTGTGACATAGCCATACACTAGAATACTATATCATTAAAGTAATAATTATGAAAACTGTGCACAAACCACAATATGTAATAAGCCTTAAATGAACAAAGTAAATTATTCACACTGATACATATGTAAAATTGTATGTAAATCTGGATATTTAAAAAAAAAAACTGGGTAGGAGCTGAGCAGGTGGTACATGTCTGTAGTCCCAGAACTGGAGAGGTGAGGCAGGAGAATTGAGAGTTCAAGGCTAGCAAGTTCAAAGCCAGCTCACACTATACAACAAAACACACAAGCTGGATAAGAAAAAAATCTAGTGGTTATAGTACTTTGATAGGTTCAATGTTATTTTTCTTTCTCTATTCCATGTTGCTTTTATGACTGACAATAAAGAACTAATTTCTAAAACACAACTGCTCTTAAACAATTATTAGAAAATTATATCTCACTGGGTTAGTTATCTTCTCTCACTACTGAGACAAAATACCCAAGACCCAAAGTTAAAGAGGGAAAGGTTTATTTGGCTTACAGTTCATACAGGTTTCAGTCCATAATCATCTGGCTCCAAGGCAGAGTGCAGAGGGGCAACAGTTCATGATGGCAGAAAACAGCAAAAGCAACAAGGGGCCTTAATAATGTCTTTCTGCCCCTTTTACCTAATTCAGACTGCTCAGGGTGGGTAGCACTCACACCCTTATTCCTAGTGCCCTCAGCTACACTCTAGATTCAGCCACCTCTGAAAAAGTCCCAAAGACTGCACGAGGTTTTGAGAGACATCTAAACACAAGCCAAACCACTCACTTTTCTTTGAAACAAATTTTCTCATGGTCTTGAGGAGCCATTTAAAACCTAGCCAAAATAGCTAAAGTATCAATTTTTTTGTACACTTCAGGAAGCAACAAAAACTCTCAATTCCGTGATAGTCGTTCAGAACAAATATGGACACCATGAGACCTGTCCCATGGGGTCTGGGTCACTGGGGGTTAGAAAAGCCCCTTGAGAATTCTGGTGCTCTCTACAATGCTCAGCGGGTGGATTACAGAAGTTCAGTTTTCAATCAGCTGTCAATATGACAATTTTCACAAGTACTAATTCTGCTTTTTAAAAAAAGAAAATGAAAAGCTGCCACCCACATTATATCATCAGCTGCCTCAAAACTGTAAAGACATTTTAAATCCTTCAAGGTTCAAAGGAAACTATCAATGTTAGTAGCTGATCTAACTCAAAACTAAAATAGTAAGTGCTGTGCTTCTATCTAAAAATACCCAAAAGTCTAACACAATTAAAGGATATGCAATCAAATTTACTTATTAAAACCATAGAAGCAAAGCTATTAAGAGAATCAAGGTGACCAAAGAGAACTGTGTAGAGAGGTATACTGTTGCATAGAGATTTCCACTAGAAAACAAAAATCTTACATACATAAATACAGCGACTCACCATCTCGGCTGCCAGTCACAATTTCAGGGGCTCCTTCCCCGACTCCTAGCCCTCCAATACCATCTATAGTATTTATAATTTCTTTATGGCCCTTTACAGAATATACTGGCATCTCTGGAGCTTCCAAATTCCTAAACAAAGAACATAGCTTCTTACTTATTATCACAGGTACCAAACACTTAAATCCATTACTAAAATTTAAGAATGTACACCATACATCTTTGTTTTAGTTTAAAAATAAGGATTCTGCTATGAAGGTAATTTATACAGCTACTTCTAATTGTTTTCTTTGCTTCAGGTTCTTTCAGGCCCTGATGAAAACTATAATTTGACTCAGCCTGAAATTTGAACTCCTGAGTCTAACCAGTGTTCTTCAATCATACGGAGATCTATGTTGGGTCTTCCACATATGACTTACTAGGTGTGCTTGTTAATAAAGGCAGATTTGTGAATTCTCCCTCAGGCAATATGAATCAGGATCTTGGGGATGGGATTCCCAATCCAGAGATGAGCTGGTACACTGAATTTGACAGAAACCACTGCTAAATCTAGCATCAAATCAAAATTGTATTAGAGTCATTTAGAATGACTTCAAAGCTGGCCTTGGTAGTTTCATCCTAAGAAATTTTTGGAGGCTAAAATATGCATTGTGTTTATTTGTATAAATTTTTCACTCTATAATGTATTATTTTCAATGACTGTAATACTGTTTTTCATTTAATGATATCTTAAAAAATGTCTCCTCATGCTAGTCACAATAAATATTATAGCCAGCCTGGCTGAAATTCATCTAACCCAAAGTTAATTTAAAAGGCACTCAGAAAAGTACTAATTAATACATGAGCTTGAGTGATGAGTAGCTGGATGAGGTTATACTCAAATCTCTTTTTAGCTCCTCTATTTCCTTCCTTTTTCACTCTTCACTAGTAACTTCTACCCACATTTCTTATACTGAGTTAGTTTTCAAAAACTTACATATTAAAACAAAAGAAATGTGATTTATGAAATGAAATCTCAGCTTATTGGAGCAAAATTTATTAGTAAAATATCATTGGGCCGGTGATTTAGCTCAGTGGCATTGTGCCTACCTTATAAGCGCAAAGTTGTGAGTTTTATTCCTGGTACCAAAATAAAATATCATTAATCAAAAATTTGATTAGGCTGGATACAGTGCCACACACCTGTAATCTCAGCATGGAGGGAGGCTGAGACAGGAGGATTGCAAATTAGAGTCCTACCTGAGCAACTAAGCTAGACATTGTCTCAAAAATAAAAAACAATAAACAAATAAATGAATAAATAAATTTTCAAAGCCTGGGGATGTCACTCAGTAGGCACAGCACCCCTGGGTTCAATGTCCCGTACGGGTGTGTGTGTGTGTGTGTGTGTGTGTGTGTGAGCTAGTTCAACTCAGTTTAGAGATGAGGCCTATCTTTATACTATCATTATGAAAGAAATGAGACTAAACAGAACTGTGCTAAAGAACTGTTTTTATTATTTTTAGAGAATTTAAGACATGACTTGTTATAAACTTGAAATTATAAGTCTTATCAATGAAGCTAAGTTGGTAATATTTGTACCATACTAGGTTAAGAAGATGGCCAACAGTTTTTCTTGTTAAAATATATTTATTTTTATAAAGGCTGGCTTCTTTCTCTCTCAATTCCTCTGAAACTATATGACATAGCATGTAAGAAGTGTTGAATAAATGTTAATTTAACTACTAAATAATTAAAGCAAGGGAAAATCAGCTTCATTCTACTTTATGATTTTATCCTAGATGAACATGGCAAGTCATTATAGAGTAGCATAGTCTAAGTGAAAATCTAGAATGTTCATATTAGAAAGTAAGTCAGGGCATACAGTTTCTGGAATATTACCATATACTTTAAATAACTAAAATAATAGATTTTTTAAAAAAAATAAAGAGGAATTTCAATTCATTCAATTCTAAATTTAAAAAGACTCAAAGTAGAATATGAAAATTAAAAACAGTTGATACAGATTAGAGCAGACCAGTGAGGACCGCCCAGTCACGCAGGGAGCTCACTGCTCCCCCACCTCCAGCGCCCCGTGCCCTCATCGGAGCAGACTGATGAGGACTGCCCAGCCGCAAGGGGGGCCTCTGCAGCATTCTCCCCCTATCTCCCCACTGGAGCCTCCCGGCTGTGTCAGTACCTAGATCCACACTGTAGAAGCACAGGTGGTCATGAAGGCCATTTTACTGAGCTCCAGAAGATAGAATGGAAGTGAACAACAGCAGTAAAGGCACATCAGACCTCCATAGTTGGTAAGTTGGAGGGACCACCACCTTCCATCAGAACTTGGGCTATCTTCAGGAGAAGGCAGACAGAACCTGCAGTAGAACCTTGCAGAGTTCAACCCTGCAGGAGGTCAGCAAGCACAACTTGTGCCTTGCAGCCAGAATTCAGCCTGAATCTCAGGGGTCTGCCATTGGCTAGCTGAGACTAATTGACTTATTTCTGCACATTGTTGCCCACACTGTCTATTCTGACATCAGAGATATAATCTGAAAGAGGCTCTTCAAAATTTTTTCTTTCTTTTCCTCTTATTTTTAATTTTAATTTTTAAATTTTTATTTTTTCCTATTCTGCAAATTCTTCCTTTTTTCTTTTTTCCCATTCAGTCTCTTGCTTCTCCATGTTACTCTTCATCTCCCTTTTTGTTCCTGTTCCTGCCCTAATTTGGATTTCTTCTTTCTTTTTTCTTCTTTTTCCTTCACTCAATTGTCATTAGTTTCAAAGGAAAGTGAGTACAATTTACAGCTTCCCTATTACTGTTAAGTTGTTCTATTTTTGTCTTTGTTCTTGCATTCTTTCCCTCTTCTCTTAAACAGTTTCCTAGAGTTTGAGTGATCATCCTGTGTCTTCTGGCTTTACTTGAAACCTTCTCCTATTCTTTTACCTATCTATTCCTCTCCTCCCAACTGCTTCTAAGTTCCCATCCTAAAGGGTAAAGTTGCTATATTGAAGAGTTTATTCACTATAAACATATTTTTGACTGGTCGTCAATTTTTATTTAATTCACATGGTTAAAGGTAATAGATTAATAACCACCAAACATGGTCAATTTATGAGTTGTGCTTGATGCTACTGTGTTGCTGATTGTATCAACTGTGCTAAAGGGTTGTGATTGATTTAATGAGTTGTCCTTTCTGATATTAAGAAAATGAGAGTATCTATGAGTCATTAGAGACTCAAAACCTAAAGAGCAGTTATATCAGGAAGATCAAAGTACTAACCCAGGAATTAAACCACGGACAGCCCAACAACAAAAATAAAATGAGAAAACACTTAAGAAAGGCACAAATACAGACTTCCAGTTCACCAAAGGCAAATTCTAGAGAAAACAAGGAGGAAAAGTCAGACAATCAACCACCAGGATACCCTGAACTCATACCTCAGGAAGTAACAAAACAGATCAATCAGACTCTAGAAAAATTCAAAACAAATAATTTCCCAGATAACTACAGAGATGAACACAATGAAAGACATGAGTAGAGACTCTAGAACAGAAACAAACAAAAAAAAAAGATGAGCTCAGGACAATGATAGAAGCCATGAATGCCCAGCATATGAAAGAAATGGAATCATTGAAACAGATTAAAACAGATATCCAGGAGATTAAAAACTCTACTGAAAGCATTCACACCAGAATGAATGATTGTGAAGATAGAATTTCAGATATAGAAGACAGGACTGCAGTCAGTGACCATGAAAAAAAAAGATCTCTTAAAAACAGTAAGGGATCATAAGAAATCGATTCAACAACTCCTAGATGATGAAAATAATAATATTGATAGGAATCCATGAAGTAGCAGGAGGAAGTACAAATGACTTTAAAGAAAATGTTCAGAGAATTAATGACAGAAAACTTCCCAAACAGAGCAAAAGAATTTGACAATACAGATAAATGAGGCATACAGAACTCCCAATAGCCATGATCAAAAACAAACTACATCTAGACATATAATAGTCAAGATCCTGGAAACCAAACAGAAGAACAAAATACTAAAAGCAATTAGAGAAAAGAAACAAATCACATGTAAAGGAAAGCCCATCAGAATCACAGCAGACTTTTCAATACAAACCCTTAGGTCAAGGAGAACCTGTAATGAGGTTATTTCATGCCCTAAAAGAAAACAACCTCCAGCCTAGACTGACGTATCCTGCAAAACTCTCTTTCAAAATGGATGGGGAAATAAGATACTTCCATGACAAGAGAACACCTGAGAAACTTCATGAATACAAAACCAGCACCACAAGGAATTCTAAACAATATCCTAGAAAAGGACAATGAAGGTCACAGTGCCATGAAGCCCAACAGAGCAAATCAATTAGACAAGACAAGAAACGAAAGGAAAAAGAGGAAAAATTAAAAAGAGCTAACAACAGGACACCATGGCAATGGTAAGTCAATACATATCAGTTATAACCATCAATGTCAATGGCCTCAATTCATCAATCAAAAGAAAGAGACTGGCAGAATGGATTAAGAAGCAAAATCCAACAATATATTGTATACAAGAAACACACCTAGTTCAAAAAGAAACTCATAGACTGAAAGTGAAAGGATGGAAAAAAGTTATCCATGCAACAGGAGACCAGAAAAAAGCAGAGAGCTATCTTATTAGCAGACAAAGTAAATTTCAAACCAAAACTGATTAAGAGAGACAAAGAAGGCCACTACATCCTTGTAAAGGGAACAATCCAAGAGTAAGTGATGACAATCATAAATATATATGCACCATATATTAACGCTCCCAACTATATAAAACAAATATTAAGGGACATGAAAAACCACATAAGCACTAATACAATTTTAGTGGAGGACCTAAATACCCCACTATCACAAATAGACAGATCATCTAGGCAAAAAATCAACAACAAAATACTAGAATGAACCAAGCTTTTGAACAAATGGACTTAATGGGCGGCTGCAGAGTGTTCCACCCCACAAAATGAGAATATACATTCTTTTCTGCTGCACATAGGTCATTCTCCAAAATAGACCACATACTAGCTCATAGCACATTTAAATAAAAGCAAAGGAGTTGAAGTTATCCCATGTATATTATCAGACCATAGTGCAATTAAGCTGGAGATCAATAGCATAAGAAGCCGTAAGAACTTCACAAACACATGGAAATTGAATAACACTCTCCTGAACAATCAATGGGTCACAGAGGAAATTAAAGAAGAAATTAGTTAGTTTTTACAAATAAAAGATAATGCCAATAAAACATACAGGAATCTCTGGGACACAATGAAAGGAGTTCTATGGAAAATTCATAGCAGTGAATGACCACACTAGGAAAACAGAGTGAGCTCAAATAAACAACCTAATGATGAATCTTAGGCTCCTAGAAAAAGAAGAGCAAGAAAAACGCAAAGCTTGTACAATGGAGGAAATTATAAAGATCAGAGCAGAATTCAATGCAATAGAAACAAAGAGAATGATACAAAAAAATTCAATAAATCAAAGAGTTAGTTTTTGAAAGAATAATAAAATTGATAAACCCTTAGCCAAGCTTGTCAAAAAAAAGGAAAGAAAAGGCTCAGATCCATGCAATCAGTAACAAAAAAGGTGAAGTCACAACATATCCAATTGACTTAACTGATAGCATATCCAGCAGAAATCCAGAGGATCATCAATACCTACTTCAAGAACCTGTACTCTAATAAGATGGAAAACACAGAAGAAATGGACAGATTTCTTGATACTTATGAATTATCAAAGTTAGTGAAGATAAAAAATTCTAAACTTCCCAATTACAATCTGTGAAATTGAAAACATAATTAAAAATTTACCTACTAACGAAAGCCCAAGTCCTGATGGCTTCGCTGCTGAATTCTACAAGACATTTAGACAAGAACTACTGCCACTATTCTTTAAACTTTTCAATGAAATTGAAAGGGAAAGCAGTACGTCCAAATTCATTCCTAGAAGCAAGTGTTACTTTGATTCTAAAACTGGGGAAAGACCAAACCAAAAAAGAGAACTACAGGCCAATCTCCTTAAAGAACACAGATGCAAAAATCCTTAATAAGATGCTGGCAAACAGAATACAGACAGTCATCAGGAAGATCATACACCCTAATCAAGTCAGATTTCTTCTAGGGATACAATGTTCAGCGTACGTAAATCAACAGAGTTAAGGACAAAAACCATATGATCATTTCAATAGATGCAGAAAAAGTATTCAACAAAATTCAACACCCATTCACGATAAAATCCCTGCAGAAAATTGGAGTAGATGGTCTTTAACTCAACTTAATTAAGGCTATGAGAAATCAACAGCCAACATCATATTAAATGGCCAGAAACTGAAAACCTTCATGTTAAAATCAGGAACAAGACAAGGATGTGCACTATCACCACTCTTGTTCAATATAGTTCTGGAAACATTAGCCACAGCAATTAGACATGAGAAAGAAATGAAAGCAATAGGGCTGGGGATTTAGTTCAGTGGTTCCAGTGCCTGCCTCAGAAGCACAAGGGCCCGAGTTCGATCCCCACTACAAAAAAAAAAAGAAAGAAAAAAATGAAAGCAATAGGGCTGGGGATTTAGTTCAGTGGTTCCAGTGCCTGCCTCAGAAGCACAAGGGCCCGAGTTCGATCCCCACTACAAAAAAAAAAAGAAAGAAACAAATGAAAGCAATGAAGATAGGAAAGAAAGAAGTTAAACTGTCATTATTTGCTGATGATATGATACTCTACATAGAAGACCCAAAAAACTCTGCCAAAAGACTTCTAGACTTAATTGATACTTTCAGTAGAGTAGCTTGGATACAAGATCAACACTCAAAAATCAATAGCCTTCTTTTAAACAAATAACACACTCTATTGAAGAGAAAGTAGTGAAACAATTCCTTTTACAATAGCATCTAAAAACTGAAGTATCTAGGAATCAATCTAATGAAGGAAGCAAAAGACCTCTACTCTGAAAAAAGAGATTGAAGAGGATATAAGAAAACGCAAAGATATCCTCTGCTCCCAGGTAGGAAGAATCAATATACTAAAAATGGCCATGCTTGCAAAACTGCTATACAAAGTCAATGCAATCCTGATTGAAATTTCAAAAGTATATTTCACAGAACTAGAAAAAATAATAAAAAAATTCATTTGGAACCAGAAGAGACCTAGAACAGCAAAAGCAATGCTACGCAACAAAGATGTAGCAGGGGGTATCACAATCCCCAACTGAAACTATACTACAAAGCCACTGTGATAAAAACAGCATGGTACTGGCAAAGAAAAAGACCTAAAGATTAGTGGAATAGATTGGAAGATAGAGAAACAACTCCAGATGTACTCAGCTACCTCATCTTTGACAAAGGAGCCCACCAACCTCACTGGAGGAAAGATAGCCTTTTTAATAAATTGTGTTGGAAAAACTAGATTTCAATCTGCCAAAGATTAAAACTAGACCCTTATCTTTCACACTATGCACTAAATTAAAATCCAAGTGGATTAAAGATCTAAATATTAAAAAAGAAACACTAAACTTGCTGGAAGATAAGTTAGACAGAATTCTCAAAGACATTGGCATAAAAAAGACTTTATGAAAAAAAACCTCAGTAGCATAGGAACTAGTACAAAGAATCAACAACTGGGATTGCATCTTATTAAAAAGCTTCTGCACTGCAAAAAAACCACCAACAGAGCTAAGAGACAACTTACAATGTGGGAAAAATATTTTATCAGCTGCTCCTCAGACAGAGGATTATTACCTAGAACATATAAAGAACTCAAAAAAATTAGAGCCCTCAAATATAAAGACCTAATTCAAAAATGGTCATCTGAAATGAACAGACATTTCTCAGATAAACAAGTAAAAGCAGCATATATATGCAAAATGTTCCACATCACTGGTCATTTGAGAGATGCAGATGAAAACAACACTGAGATTCTACCTCACGCCACAAAGAATGGCTGCTATCAAGAAATCAACCAATAACAAATGTTGGAGAGGTTGTGAGGAGAAAGGAACCTTTCTCCATTATTGTCAGGAGTGTAGACTGGGGCAACCACTGTGGAAACCAATATGGAGATACCTCAAAGAACTAGGATTAGAGGTCTCATTTGACCCAGCCATCCCTCTGCTGGGTATCTTTCCAAAAGAATTAAAAGAATCGTACCACAGTGATATATGCATACCCACATTTAAAGTGGCACAGTTTGTAATAGCTAAAAATTGGAAACGGCCCAATAGCCCATCAGTTGGAGACTGGATAAAGATGTGGTTTTTCTATACAATGGAGTACTATTCAGCCATAAAGAATGAGGAACTGAAGTCATTCATACGAAAATGGATGCATATTGAGGCCAAACTCTTTAGTGAAATAAATGAGACACATGTGTAAATACTGAGTAGTTTCTCTGGTGTGAAAAACTGAAAGTGTAACTAAGAACCAAACTGTATAACTGATAATGTGAAATATGAAGAAAAGGGCTAAAGGCGTAGGGCAAGTGGGAAGGGTAGGGGAAAGGAAATAAGGGAAAAGAAAAAATATGAGAAGAGGAAAAAACAGAAACAAAGTCTTTGTAAACAGGGGAGCTTGGAGGTAGTGAAGGGAAGGCAGAGGTACAGGGAAGAAATGAGAACCAAGATCTGTCATGTAAAGGTACAAGATCCCAATGACGAATGTAACTGTACCATACTCTTAAAAAGTACCAATAAACTCAATGAAAAAAAAAAGTATTTCGTACAATTGTGATTTTACTCATTCAAAACCAGTTTCCCTTGATTTGTTCAACAAATATATTTCTAAGAAGTTGTGCTTAGATGTTAAAGTATTAAGGGCCAGGGATTTAGCTCAGTGGTGCTACTGCCTGCCTTGCAAGCACAAGGACCCAAGTTGGATCCCTGGTACTAAAAAAAAAAAAAAGAAAAAAAAAGAACCAACTCTTGAAAACCAAGACATGTCATGTAAAGGTACAAGATCCAAATGATAAATGTAACTGTACTGTATATTTTAAAAGTACCATTAAACTCAATGAGAAAAAAAAGATGTTAAAGCATTAAAAAGCAAACTGTAAATGATTTGAGAGTTGTACAGTAAAAATTAAAACAAAAACAAAGTGTATCATTCTGTAATGCCAAATCTCTTGCTGAAATGTAGATAATATCTAATTTTTCAATGTTATGCATGTGCATATTTGTATACTGTATTCTCAACAGTAGTGGGGAACAGAGTTTTATTTATAGATACTGGGCATTAAATGGTAGCACAAAACAGCATGTAAGTAAGTATTGATGATATAATTCAAAACATCTGAAGGAAAATCAGTTAGTATTTTTAAGTGGATTTTTAATATGTACTCTAGAAAAATACATCGAAAGATAATTCTCAGACTTTTCTAGCTAAAATTGAACAACAAAAGAAATATTTAAAAATTAAAATTCCCTCCTTCAGGAGTAGGGTGGTAAGACTACCAAAGAAAGTGCTTGTCTCGACTGTTTGAACACTGCTTAAAAAATCTTACCATATATGAAGGTTTCCACCAAAATCTCCAGTAGCTAAGTATCTCTGCTGTAAAGATGCTGCACCAAATGTTCCACATTTAATGGGTTTGGCCTTTTCAATCTTGAGAGGGAGAGAAGAGAAATTATCTATGTAATCAGTTATTTAGAATCCACAATATTTATGGTTCTATAAAGTTTAAACACATAAAAGCAATTAAAACATTTTCTAATTAAAAAAATTATGCTCTGCCTTTGGTCACTTGTTATGTACTTTTAAATTAGTATTTTTTTAAAATTTACTTTGTTCTTTTCTTACTAACAACATTCAAATGCTAACAACTCTACCATCTCCACTGTTTTGCAAACATGAAAGTTTCAGCATTCTATGTAATATTCTTTAAGATCCTCAGTAGAAATGAAACATAATGAAGATACTGTTTTTTCCAAAGGGCTACAGGGAAAAAAGATGTTTATGTGTCTCATCGTTTCCCCTGCAAAGCCCTATAAACTAAAGATGCTTATGTCTACTTGTTCTGGGATCCTTTCAATGCTTAAGAGATTTGTACACCTGTGTATACACAACACTGCTATTAGTATGAAATTCTTTCATTTCAAAGGCTACTGTTCCAAGTGCTGTATATAGTCACATCAGTAAAACAACTACAACCCAATCCACTGTTGAAGATATGGGGCCTCTGGTAGTCAGGTGAAGACCATATTGCCAAAGGGCCCTTGGAAATTATCTAGGAATACCCTCCTGTCATAGAAGATTGAAATCTAGAGCTGTGCGAATTTGCCCAAGTCTTACAATATTCAACATTTACTGAGTCCCACTATAGTTGAACACCGCTACTCCAAAAAAATCCAAAATCCAAAATGTTCCAAATCTCATACTTTATGACCATATATATGATGGTACAAATGGAAAGAAAATTCCATACTTACCTCACATCTTGTGATGAGTCATAGTCAAATCGGAGGGATACTAACATACTGTATAAGGTGTATAAGGTATAAATGAATCGTACATGAATTTTGTGTTTAGCCTGGGACCCATCCCTAAGACATCTCATTATGTATATGCAAATATTCTAAAATCCAAAGTGTAAATGGAAAAGTTCTGTTCTAAATATTTCAGATAAAGGCTACACAACCTGTATATCCAAGTCATCAAGCGAGGCAAGAGGAATTCAAGGATGAGTGAGATTAGCTATACTATCAAAATCAGACATTCCTATCTGACTCCTCTACATATGCCACTCCCACACCTCCCTGGGTCTTCCATCAAAACATTAATTTTACCTCCGATTGCTTCCAGTTCCTCACTGCCTCCTCCAACTCCCAGTTCTACTTGCCCTGGTCACTGAGGTCTCTCCTGCAGCCTAACTGCTTTTCGTGGTATCTTGGCTCCAAGGAACTCTGGGGTCTGGAATTAGAAGAGGCCACTACTGATGCCTGCTCTGTATCACACTCTGACCCTATGCTACTACACTTCCTATTTACTATGGGCCTCCACTGACCAAAGCTAGTCATTCTTTTCTCTGGTCTTTTATAATTTTTCTACTTTTGAATTCTTAACGTTTACAAATATAATATATATTCCCCATGAAAATACAAACAAAATAACGGAAGGGAAAAATGCCTCCTTTCATACTTTCCAGAAGTAATCCTTATCCTTCTGGATGTTTCCATACACATTTTAGTTTATTTCTTTGTGCACAAAAAGAACTGGTGAGCCAGGTGTAGTGGCACACATCTGTAATCCCAGCACTCAGGCGGCTGAAGCAAGAGGAACACCGTAAGTTCGAGGTTATCCTGGAATACACAGCAAGACCCTGTCTCAAAATTAAAGAGCAACAGAAAGAAACACAAATGGCTATTACAGTACTCCAGTACTTCAGTGCTCAAAAAGCAGTACCACAAGGTGCAGTCTTTGATACCTGCATATCTGAAAATTGTTACCTTCAAAGGAAAGAAATCAAATTGAGAACCAGTCTGTTACACGATAGGCCACATACTGGAAATTTTCACCTTTATCATGGTATGGTGTCTAAAAAAACAAACTTTAAAAACTGTGTCTACATTTACTGGCACAGACTCCCAAAGTGGCACCAAGACATAGGAAATGTCTAAAGCCCTTTGACTTCTGGCTTGCCTGGCTCTGAGTCTGTTTCCTGCTTCTCCTCTTCTCTCTACCACCTTGGAGCCACACCAGTCAGTTTTCTGTTTGTTCTCCAGACACACCAGTCATTTCCATCTAGGGGCATTTGCTGTTCCCAATGCTTGGACGGCTCTTCGCTCAGATCGTTAGGCCTCTTGCCTCCTCATTCAGACTGTAGTTCAAATTCCACATCCTCAGCAACCTTCCATGACCCTCTAATCTGAAGTGGAAACCCCAAGTCACTGTCCCTCGCCTTACAAAGTCTCCTTTATAATTATCAACAAATTATTTTATTCACTCAATTATTTCCTCTTTCTCTAGAATGCAAGCACCATGAAAACAGGACCTTGTCTCATTTGTATTACACGTGGTACGTCCTCAACACTTGTTGAATTAAAATGTACGTAAGTATATATTAACTCTCAGCCCTAGTGCTGGGGAGAGAGAAACCATTGCTCAGCTATTTCTTGTTCTTCCTTTTCTCCCACAGGTTTTCATGTGCATGGTTCCGACAGTCTGTGGCATCATTTCCACACAATCATGAAAACAGCTTCCATGTATCACACACACACATATCAGATACTGTTCTAGATGTGCTTCCAGAAGAGACCGACCTTCTCTTGACAATTCTGCAAAGTTAGGTATTCTAAGAACATTGCTTTCATGATGAGGAAACGGGTTCAGCAGACTGAGGGACCTGCCATAGGTCCCAAGAGCTAGGGGGACTCCAAGCTCTTTCTACTGAAGAAGACTGCCTCCAGGCCTGTATGGGAAAATATTAAATGGGCATTTTATTATGTAGCCCTATTCTGCAAAAATGAGTCACCACAAGTACCAAAGGAATGTTCAATACTGAAGTAGATTGGTGAGCTCAACAGAGCAAGCGTGAATTAAACATACTTTCAGATTTCTGTCCTTTTGTTTTAAACCTCACTCATCTCCTTACTAGATAAATACATTGGATTATGCTTCCCTTATGTACATTTCTATTTTTGTATGAAAAAAAGAGATTTACTAATGGTCTGTTATGCAAGAATCAAACTCAAAAGTATATGAATATATTAAAAATAAACTCGGGCCCGGGATTTAGCTCAGTGATGCCGCTGCCTGCCTCACAAGTGCAAGGTCCCAAGTTCGATCCCTGGTACCAAATAAATAAATAAATAAACTCAAACACCTTGTCATCTGCATGCAGTGAGGACTACACTTTGCTCAGAAGGGCAAGCACTGCCCTTTGGAAAGGAGGCATGTTTTCCTTCCTCAGATATTTACGGAAATCCTAATAGCAGTGAAAACAAGAGAAACTAATTTTTTTCTAGTTCACAAGAGTTCCCCTTTAACTCTTAATATTTTACCTATAAAAGAGATGCTGCCGGGTGTCGTGGTGCACGGCTGTAATCCCAGCACTTGGGAGGCTGAGACAGGAGGATCGCTGTGAGTTCGAGACCAGCCTGGGCTATATAGCATGTTCCAGGTCAGTCTCAACTACATAGTGAGACCCTGTCTCAAAAAACCAAAAAAGAAAAAAAAAAGAAAAAGAAAGAAAAGAAGAGATGCATAGACTTTGGCAGAACTTAAAAGTTTTCTTGCCAGACATCAGTTAAAAAAAATTGAAGATTTGGTGAAAATGATCCCAATGAAGTAAGTACATATTGATGATTTTTGCTATATGATACTTTAAGTGACCAGCAAGGATGGTTCATTGGGCCTAACTTGTGGTATTCTTTGCTACAATGATGTTACCATGATTAAAGAAGCCCACGATCTTCCAGCAACAGCTATTTCTGTTCTGTCTGTGGGTGGGTCTAGTACAGCTTGTCAGTATTTCCTCCTCCACATCCTGGCACTACTTAATTAACATTAAAAGGTTTAGTCAACCAAATGCTAACAAGGAGTGAATTCAGTAGCACGGAGGCTAAAACGCAGAACTTTATTAGCCTATTACTAATTTCATAGTATAAGTACCCACAACCATGATTCCATTTTTCAGGACCATCCCTATCCATATACCTTTATGCCAATTAAAAAAAGAAAAAACTGCATTTGCAGATCAAGCCTTACACATGGAAAGCCTGATGAAGCAAAAAGAGAACACCCAGATGGACACCTTTGCGTGGAGGAGTAAACTGCTCAACTATACACACAGGCCCTGCCCTCCCTTCCCTGTCTATTCTTTCAGCAGTGAGAAAAGGGTGGCAATACCAAAAGCTGATTTGCTCCCTTCCCCTCTTATCTTAGAAGCACAGACTCTGGGGCACATGGCTTAGGGTAGTTTCCTAAACTTTTAATAAATAATCCACTAGCCCACTGGTTCTCAGCCCTCGTACGCATTAGAATCACCTGGCAGATGTTCCAAAAAAACAAAAACAAAAAAAACTAATGTCCAGGCCTCCACCTAGTCTAGATACATCAGAGCACCACTGCCTCAGAATTTCTGGGGAACAAGGTCTAAATATCTGAAAACATGCACATACACAAACAGAAACAACGAAACATTCGAGATGATTCAGGCACACCACAAGAGGTGAAAATCACAGAGCCTGTATTTAACCTATATTGTTTTATTGCCACATACACTCAAGGTTCTTAAATGTGTTTTTCCCATTTGCTTTACCCTTCTTTTAAATGGTAGGCTTTTTAAGAAAAGAGGTGCATCTTTCAATACCGTGGGTTCTTTTTTAACATAGTTCTTTGAAATAGTAGGTTCTCAGGAATTTCTGGATGGAAAAAAAAATTTCCAGGTAAGGATAATTTATTATTCCCAAGATTGAGGTAAGGGTGATGCTTTCATCTTTTTTCCATCTATATTTTCTGAGATGAATACATATTTTAAATTTTAAAAAATTTCTAGAATGCTCCAGAAACTCTAAAAAAGATAAAACTATTTCACTCAATAAAGTATATTGCTGAAATCTGTACATTGTAATTCTTATTCAGAAAGCCACAAGTCTTTTATGTGGTTCCTAGTTGAGTTTCAATTGGCCTTTATCATCAATACTTTACCTTTTTTTTCCACTAAACTATAAATTTTTCATTACATCCTATTTATAGACATTCATTCACTCATTCTTTTAGTAACTTATTGAATGGCTCCTCCTTACAAACTACACAAAATACATTTTCTTCTTACTCTTCAGGAGCTTACAATCTAATCAGACATAATTGGGACAAAATTCCTATTTCTATCCCAAGTAAACAGAACAGGAATACAACAAAAAGAAAACTACTTTGTGTGGGCATCATGCATCAGAAAATCTGAAACAGCGACTGGGCATGAAGTGATGAAAAATATAAGGGAAGGTGGAAAAGAGCAAGCCATATTTAGAAATTCTGCCTGGCTAAGGAGAGCAAACTAAACAAGAAAAAGACTCAGGGGAGTTTAAAATGGGTCAGCACCTCACTGAAGGTTGCTTATCCAAAGTGTATTCATCTTTTTCTTACCTGTTTAACTCCCATCTCCTCCAAGCCAATTCTCTCCACAGCTCTGTGTGTGTTCAGCGCTGTGTGTGTGTGTGTGTGTGTGTGTGTGTGTGTGTGTGTGTGTGTGTGTTACTGGCAGTTGAACCCAGGGCCTTTGCACTAAAGTACATCCCAGCCCCTTTTAAAATATTTTCTTTTGGAAAAAGTCTCACTAAATTAAGTTGTTAAATTGCACTGACTAGGCTCGAATTTATGAATCTCTTAGTTCAGTCTCCTGGAGTGTTGGGATTATAGGTGTGCAACCCTTAGCCTGGTATCTCCACAGCTTTTGATTTCTGCAACTCTCTATGTCCCCTGCACTTGTAGTCTATTACCTGAATATGACCAATCATTTCTTTTAGACAATCAACTCCAGTCATTTTAAAAATTTCCAACAGCTACAGACATGCTGCTTGCTTTTTGTTGTTGTTGTTGTTGTTGTTGTTCTTTTATTGAGTTTATTGGTACATTTTAGGTATACAGTACAATTACATTCATTATTGGGATCTTGTACCTTTACAAGACGGGTCTTGGTTCTCATTTTTTCCTCTTGTAGAAATGCTGCTTGTTAGCCAGCACAACTGTCTGCACCTGTAATACCAGCAGTATCTAGCAAGCTGAATGTAGGAGGATCACAGAGCTCCGGGCCAGCCTGGGCAACTTATCAAGACCCTCAAATAATATTTTTATGCTAATTATTATCTTTATTCTCTACATCTTTCACTAGTGATCTTTAAAAAGCTTGTAAATCTGTTCTTAGCACACACCGCTGAAAGCCTTTCAATGATCTGCTATTTTTCTTTGTAAAAAGACACGATGGCCTACAGATTTCGCTATGTGGTTCCTTCATTACTTGTCCTGTTTCTTAAGAAGACAAACTTTCCATAACTGAACTTCAGTACATGCTGTTTCCTCTGGAAAATTCATCCTCTCATCGTACTTTGGTCTAGTTCCTACTCATCTCGTCTGTTTTCACTCATCAAACTATGTTGTTCGTGTGAGTGAACTCACCTAGGTTTGCATTTATACATCCTTCACCTGATTATTAAACTAAATGTGTCTCCCACTAGAAAATTAACTCCGTGAGATCGGCAACACTATCACTTACATGCCTGGGAATACCAAGCACTTAACTTACACTTGTCTAGAGAATAAACGTGTTGGGCTGTCATTCCTAACTACATCACAGTACTCTGGTGGATACGTTAGCTCTGCTTCCAAGAAAAAGCATTACGTGGGCGCCCTAAAACTTACTACAAACGACTGCAAACTAAATGGTTCTCGAATTCAGACACAAAATCTTAGCACTCCTTCCCAGAGACTTTGTGTTGCACTGCAATGGGGGTGGGAGGCGATCGAGGCTGACAGGGCGCGGAGGTACAAGCCCGCTGAGACTTAGGGCTCAAAAGCAAGGTTTTATGTCTGAAGCATTTCTCAATCTGCAACTTCCCTTGTCCCTAGCTACTGAGCTATACTTTGGGGGGAACGCTTTTTAGAACGAAAACAGGCCAACAGCGTGGGGGCTGTGGGGGCACTCGTGCCCAAAGGCAGTCCAGGGGCTGGAGCTGGATAGTCTCGACCAGGGACCCACCTCCCGAAGCAGCTTCAGGTCCCCGTGCTGGATCTCGTACAGCTGAATTACGCCGGTTCCCCGTGCGAAGTTGCCCATGGTCACAAACTTGGCGCTGCAGGGCACCCACTTACAGTCAAACACCGTGTAGCAGAGGCCCTTCTGGATATGGGCGATGATCTGAGGCTTCTCGAAAGCCGACATGGTATAGCCGATTTCACTTTCAGTAACCACCCACACCGTGACCCAGACAGACGAAACATTAACCTGGAAACCAGACTCTAAACTTAACGACAGTTGGTCCTTTCCGCTTGCCGTACTCTGCCCCTCTGCAAATTGGATTTAGTTATCTTCAATAATGCCAGATTTGTTTCCCAGGACGCACAAGGTGTTTCTCCATAGACGGCACAAATTTGATTAGCATCTTTACCCACTAATTTTTGCTCATATACGCACTAGTGATTACAAAATGCCTTGGCTGTGAATTGCGTGGTCGGAAGCCAACCCTAAAAATCAGGCATATTATTAGGAGATCCCAGGTAGACACACTCACCAATCCTGCTTCAGGATCCTCAGTGTGGGACCTCAGAGGGGCGGGGGCCTGGGTTTGATTGGCGAAGGCGGGCTCCTCTCACAGCGCCTGCGCAGTGCAGTGCCGCATGTGTTCACACTGAAAACGTTTACCCGGTGCGGAAATGGCCGAGATGGAGACGCAGGCCGCGGCGGCCGAGGAGGGGTTCACACAGGTCACCCGCAAGGGTGCCCGGCGGGCGAAGAAACGACAGTCTGAGCACTTGTCCGAAGCGGAGGAGGGCAGGGACGTGGGCAACATGGACACGGAGGAGGCTCGGCCGGCGAAGAGGCCCGTCTTCCCGCCCCTCTCCAGGGATGGACTCCTGGTACTATCAGGGACCCTGGGACGGGATCGGAGCAGGAGCCATGGTTAGGTCAAGCTGGTGGTCACTGAATGATGTCGAAGTTGTAAGGGGCTGTTCTGCCGTGAGGGTCTTGCGTGACTCTTCTGAAGTTTAACTGGTTCAGATAAGGGAAGCTTCTTGTAGGTCGATTGTCATCTTACAACTCCACCCACAGCCCTCCAGGATGTTTCCTGAGTTGTGTTTTTTTACTTTGCAGAGTGGGAAAGAAGAAACACGGAAAATTCCAGTTCCAGCTAACAGATATACTCCATTAAAAGAGAACTGGATGAAGATATTTACTCCTATTGTAGAACATTTGGGACTCCAGATACGCTTTAACTTGAAATCAAGAAATGTGGAAATCAGGGTAAAGAGAATGCCGTCCATTTCCAAACATACTTGGGTTTTTCTCCTCCTTGAATCAAAGCGCTTTTTCCTCAACGGAACTTGGTTTTCTTCAACTTTTTAAATATACAATAACTTTAAACTTAACCGGATACCTTCAAAATCTGCCTCAACACAAATGTTAACCAAATTCATAAATTGATTCTGAAACTATACCAGAGTATTGACAGTATCTGTGTATAAAGTATGTAAATAACATACTTTAAAATAAAATACATTTTCCTTCCTGAAGATTCTTATATCATTTTCAGGACTAGTATAAACTTACATCTGTTAATGGACTGTAATCATGAACAGAGAGGCACTACTCTTAGTAGCTGGTAAAGTTTAAATGTTATCGGATGTGACTGATAGAACCTATCTTTGCTCCCATTGCCACTCTAATTCAGGCTTTTAGGATTTCATGCCAAGCGTTGTTTGCTTATATGGGTTCCTTTGCATTATGTGTTTCTTTACTCCATGTTCTGAGACAGTGCCAGATCAATTTTCTCAGTGCTTCTGTTATAATCCTGGTATTAAGTTAAGTGATTGACCATATCTTCCTTTCAAGTAGGAGACCCAGCCACAAGTTCATATCTTACCTTTTTTTTTTTTTTTTTTTTTTTTTTTT